GGGGGGGGAGGGGGGGAGGGGGTTACTGTCTGGGCCAGGTCTAGGGAGCGGACTCGGGGAAGTAGGCACGGGGCCGGGGGTGGGGAGGTGGCCGGGCAGGCACAGGGGACCAGCGCCAGGAAGACTGGCCCCGGGGCCCCCCAGGCGCAGGGCGCCAGAGCGGCCCCCTTGCCCGCGCGTACCTGCGGCTCGCGCCGAGGCCCGGCGCGGCGCGGGGCAGCAAGAGGCCGCGGCATCGCCAGGCCCGCGCGCCCTGCCTGGCTGCTGGCGGCCGACGGCCCGGACGCCGCGGACAGGAAGGGAGGGCGGGAGGGAGGCTGCGAGGGGCGGGCCCGGGCACCCGACAAGCCGCGGGTGCGTCTTCGCGGGGCCCGCAGGCCACGCGGCTGGTCTCCGAGCGCCTCCCGGTGGTCGACTGAGGGACTGCAGACCGGATAGGAGGACACGAGTCTGTGCACAAAACTGGGCCGACTCGGCTGGATCTAGACCAGATTAACCCTCTTGAGTAGAAGATGGAGAGCTGTGAGGATGCCAGGGCCGTGGAAAGCTCTGAGCCTCCTGTCATTTTATCCAAACCTAGCCCGTTTTACAAATGAGAAATGAGGCGAGAGGCAAAGGTGTGGCTTGTCCAGACCCTCCAAGCCAGGAGCTTCGCCTTTGCTCTGCCCACCCCCGACTCCCCAGGGCCTCAAGGTCCTGCTCAAACCCCACCTCCTCCAGGAAGCCTTCCCTGAATAATAATAACGAGCCAACTTTATGTACTATCAGGTACTTTACACACGTCTCATTTGCTACATTCAGTCAACATTTATTGAGTGCCCGTCGTCTACCAGGCACCCTGTTAGGTACAACAGTGGGCAGAGGGAGACCAGGCTCCTGCTCTTGTGTTGCTCACAGTCTGATGAGGGAGGCAGAAGCCAATCAGACAACCAGGCAAATGAATGTACAACCACCCACTGTGAGAAGTACCATGACTAGGTATCACAAGGAAACTGGTCTGGCGGGAGAGACGAGGGGGGAAGGCCTCCCTAAGGAAATCACATTTGTGTAGCAGCCTTCGAAGAACAAGAGGATGGATTCTGGAGAGGGCATTGGGAAAATGCTCGGGAAGCAAGAGGAACAGATGTGCAAAGGTCCTGTGGCATAGCAGTGAGTCAGGGCTGAGGAACTGCAGAACAGAGAGCACAGGGAAGAGGGACGGTAGATGAGGTTGTGAGGCTGCGGAGGAGGAAGGGGCCAGGTCTTGAACTGTGAGCAGGAGTTTGGTTACTGATGAGAGCAGAAGAAAGCTGTGGAAGGGCTTTAGTCAGGGGAATGAGCCTGCGTTTTGGAAAGGTCCCTCCAGCTTCCTGGTGGAGAATGGACTGGAAGGAGACAAGAGTGAAGCAGAAGGGTTCGGAGGTCATAGCAGGACCCAGGGGAGAGCTCTGGGAGGTCTGCACCAGGCAGAGGTGGAGATGGAGAGAGGGGGTGGACTTGAGGTCAGCGGAAGAGGAAACATCGTCAGGATAGTCTATAAGGGAGAGGGGGGTGTCAAGAGTGAAGTGCAGAGTGGGGCTGGTGCTGAATGGGGGGGCATTTGCCGAGGAGGGGGCACAGGGAGAGACTCAGATCATGTGTTCATGAGGTCCGTTTGGACGGTTGGTTTGAGATGTCCTTGAGGTGTACGTGTGGAGATAACAAGGCTCTGGAATGCAGAGGAGGGGTTGGTGGGAGAAAGGAATTAGAGTGGCTGCTCAGTGCAGACAGTGTGGGATCACCCAGGATGACTGCAGCGAGAGGAGAGGCACAGGCTCGGGCCTGGGCTTGAGGAGCTCAGAAGTGCACCCGTGAAAGACACAGAGGGTCATGGGAAAACCAGGAGAGGGTGTTGTCCCAGAGGCAAAGGGACAGAGAGTTGCAAGGAGGGAGGGTCAGACTCCGGAGAAGCCAACTGGGATGGGACAGGAAAAGGTCCACTAGCTTCAGCAACGTGGAGGCCATTGGTGGACTTGGCAGATGAGTTCCAGGAGGTAATGCTGACAGTAGAAGCTGATTGGAGTGGGTTGGGGTGGAGGGAAGAAAAGGGACATAGAGAGGAGGGGCACTTGATGCGAAGGGAAGATGGAAAGACAGACACTCTCAGGCTGGATGAGATTAATTATGGCAAATACCACAGGGAAGGATTCAGTTGAGAGAAGGCATCTGATGATGTGGAGGAGAGAGACCTCTGAGAAGCTGGGATAGTGGAGTGATGGAAGGGTTGGCAGGTGGGAGAGGCTGGTGTGTGTGCTCCCTGGACAGAGTGAGGTTAAGATCAGAGAACAGGAAGCCTGGCTTTAATGTGGAGGAATTCAGGATGATGACGAGCCCCAGAGAGTGACCAGGGGTGAGAGCAGCTGAGAGGTCAAGGGGTGGCGAGGTCATCTTCTTGGATAATGGAATCACATAAGATTGAGCAACATCTGGGTGAGAAGACCATGAGCCACGGCACGGGAAGAATGAGGTGGAGCGCAGCCCTAGGCGGGAGGAGGCAGGACACCAGGTGGCTCCAGTCTCCAAGGAGGGAGGGCTCTTCCAGGGGAAAGATGGTCCAGAGCAAAATGGGGATCCAGACTACCAACCTCCTCTTGGTGGGAAGCAAAACAGCACCACCCCTTGGGAGTCCTTAGGGAAGCGGTGTCCACAGGGAGAGCCAGTTTAGAAGAGAAGGACCCAGGCTGAGGAGGGGCAAAAGGTGGGTCAGTGACCAAGAAGGACGGAGATCTCCCAGGTTTGTGCAGAAGATGGATGGGTCTGGGTACCGCCTGGCAAAACCAGGAATGAGAAGTATTTCAGGTTCACTCCTCATGGTTAATCTCTGAACAGGGTGGATCCTGGGCTGAATGGACACTGGCCTGGGAGAAGCCACACAGCAACCTCATAAGGAAGGAACTCGTTCCCATTTGACAAGTAAGGAAATGGAGGCACAGTCACAGAGAGGTTAAGTAATTTACTCAAGGTCAGGGAGCATAACCACTTATCACTGATTATTATTAAGTGCAAACCTTAGAGCAGTTTCGAACGCTGTCGGTCTGACTCCTAAGTAGATGCTCTTGCCCACTCTGCCTGTAACAGGTACAGTAGGACTGACTCCCTCCAAAAAAACAAAGCAGCTACCTTCCCCACCCCCACCTTAGGAAGGAGACCAGCACTGTGTCCTCCCCCACCAACTTTGGTGTTTCTGGCCTATGAAAGGCCATTTTACCCCAGGCCTTTGGCCTGCTGCCTGCAGAGCCAGACCCTGAGCACGGAAGACACATGAGTGCCCAGTGGTTGGAGAGCATTGAGTAGAAGAGAAGTGAGGGTCACCATGGTGGCCCTCAGAATGAGGTACCAGGCCCTGCTCCTCCCCTTGGTTTCTCAGACCCCACACAAGGCCCCCAGGAGGGATCATGGCTGAAATTGAGTTTCTTGCCAGCCCTGGTGAAAAGACGAGAGGAGTAAGAGCCAGTTGTAAGGTGATTCAGTAAAACAAAGATCGTGGGGGCTCTTGGATCCGGCTTGCCTGCCCCACTGAGCTCTGAGCTCCTGGAGGCTGTGGGCTTAGCAACTCTCGAATCCCTCCCAGAGGAGCCTAGCACTCTGTCCACAGCAGCCAGTCAGTATTTGTGAATTAAATATGGGGCCCAGGGTGGGAGCTCAGAGCTGTGGAGCCAGATCCCCTGACTCTGAATCGCAGCCCCACTCTGCTAGCTTTGTGACTTTGAGCATGCCACTTAACCTCTCTGAGCCTCACCTATGAAGAGGGAGCAGGGCCAAGGGCTTTGCACTTGATCTAACGCTCTGCTGCTCCCGTTTTGATATTCTTAACCCAGTTTTGAACAAGGTGCCCCCACATTTTCATTTTGCACAAATTATGTAGCCATTCCTCAGTGGGAGTAATATTATCTACCTCAGAACACTGATGCAAGGATTAAATGAAACAATCTGTCTGAAGTGCTTAGCACATAACGAGTGCGCAAGGGAACAATTGTCTATTGTCCCTCGCTATTAGATCATCCCCCGCGCCGTTGTGTGATAAATGGTTGAATGAATGAGAGTCTGGGGAGCATGTGGAAGCGAAGGTGCCAGGCTGAGGGTGCTGTACAGGAAGTGGGAGCATTTTTGTGCCCCACATTGTGGAGCAGTCGTTCCCACGGCAGCCGGTGATTCGTGCTGTGGTCCGGGCCTGGCCGCCACGCCCGGCAAAAAGTCCACTTGGTGAGACCTGAGGACGCGGGTTCCAGTCTTTACTACGAGGCGTGGTCTCGGCCCCAGTGAGGTCGTCAGTAGGATGCGGAGGCCAGCGAGCAGGATCTGCGCCAGCCTCGAGGCAGTCTCTCAACCTTCCTTCCTTCCCGGGGTGGGTCCTGGCGTGGCAGCCCCTCCCCTCTCACGTCAGGGGGGCGGGGCCTCACGCGCAAGCGCCGGCCACCTCCGAGGCGGGGGCGTTGCTCAAAGAAAAGGGTTGGTGCTGGCTTGCGGGGGTTGGTTGAGCAGCCCGGCGGAGCCTGAGGTGGGCAGCAGAGGCTGCGGCAGGCTCCCAGGGGACGGCGGCGTGAAGGCGCGGGCTTGGGGGAAGACGCTGACCGAGGCGGGGAGGGTCCCGCTGGCCGGCACGCTGCTAAGCGGGAGGGGCAGGGAGGCGCTGTAGGTCATGGAGCCGCCGACCGGCCCACCGGCCGCCAGGCCCAGCGCTGGCGACCCGGTGCGCATCTGGTTCAGGGTCGGCCTGCCCTGGTCGCCCCCGCCGAACGGGTTGGTGGGAGATGGAGTGCTGAAACCTGCGGAACGAGATTGGGTTGGGGGACTTGGAGCGGGCCAGGGGCACAAAGCCCTAAGTGGGGAAGGGGCAAGGTGGCCAGATCTGGGGTCTTAGAAATAGGGAAGAGCTAAGATTTTAGGGCAGGGTCTGGGCTCTAAAGGAAGAGACGGAGGGAGAGCAGGGGACCCCAGTGTTGAGACCCAGCAGGGACGGGGGGGTGTCCTACCTGTTAGGAAGGGGTTCCGGGTCTTTGCAGCCTGGGGCGCCTTGACTAATGAGTCAAGGTTGACCAAGGAGGAGGCCGAGGGGCCCAGGAAGGACTCAGGAGTCCGGCGCGCTGGGGTGTCCTTGCTGGGCTGGGTTAGTGCTTCCCCCAGCACGTCCAGGTCAAAGGCATCTGGCTCCTTTGTGCCATTTTGCTTGGAACTGGGGTCGGGGTCTCCAAACAGGTCCAGCTCTGGAATAGAAATGATAAACCTCACTGGTGGGGAGAGTGAGTGGTCTCTCTGAGAGGAAGAAGGCAGAGGCCAGCTCGGGGTGGGCCCCTCCTGCCCCAGAGCTGCACATTTCCTGGCTCCTGCTTACCCACAGGACTGCTGGGCTTCCCGGAGGGCAGGGCCTGGGCACACTCTAGCCCCTCCTTGGTCTCTGTGGATACTGGAGGCTTGGCAAATGGGTCAAAGGTCGAGGTACCAGCCAGCGCTAGTCAAGGAGGAAAAGGGAGATGAGATGGGTTGGCAAAAGGGCAGGCACTGGGCTGATCCCTTTCCAGGCAAGCTGCCCTCTTAACACAGGATCTCTTGCCCCTTGGCACTGGAGGTAAGGGGACCCAGCAGTCCTCCACCCCCTCAGCCACACCCCCTGGCCCTCCGCTTACCAGGTGTGTTGGAGGTCTCCACCAGCGCCCCCCAGGGGTCGGCCCCAGTGTTGAGGAGTTTGTGGTGGGGGGAGTTCTGTGCCCAGGAGTCTGTGGGGGGTGGTCCAGCAGGCGGCACTGGGGTCCGGCCCCAGGGCTCAGAGGAGAACACAGGGGGCAAGTTCCAGGGTTGGCTTTGGGACAGGATGCTTCCTGAGTGGACTGGAGACCAGGGGTCTGCCGAAGGCCCCCAGGACGAGCCACTGGGCTCTGTGTTGGGCCTGAGACCTGAAATGGGGACAGCACAGATGTGACCCCAGGCCCACTCAAACCCCCAGTCCAGGGCCTTCCCAGTTACCCAGACCAATTTGGGAGGCCAAGGGACTCATTTCACAGATGGGATGCTGACTCAGGACTACTCATCAAGCTGGAGCCCATATTCAGCGAGTTATTCCAGGATTCTGGACCCCCCAGGCATAGGCAGCTCAGGCCACATTCCCAGTCAGGGACAGGCTGGGCTAGGAAACCCAGGGTGACCAAAAGCAACAAGAGAACGTTTCTGAGTTTCCCATGAGCTGAGTTCCTCGGATGTGCCCCCCTCCCTCACTACAACCCCAAGACACAGAGGAAACTGAGGCTCAGAGAGGTGCAGTGCTTGCCCAGTGGCCCTCACCTGTGGGAAGGGGATGCCAGCAAGTGGCTGGGAAGGAAGGGGCTCTCTGGGGCCAGCCTGGGAGCCCCTTGCAGCCCTGCATGCCCACCTGGGATGTCCCATGGGTCCGCAGAACAGTGTGTGGAGGGCAGGGCCGGGGCTGGTGCGAAGATATCCACCAAGTCCAGGATGGAGGACTGCTGGGGGCAGAGGCAGCCATGCTCAGGAGAGGGTGGGACCTGGAGGAAGGGCAGGCCCTGACCTGTCATCCTCACTCCAGCTCACTCTCTGCTTTATTCATTCCACAAACATCTATTAATGGTCCCTCGCCTCTGCACAGTGCTTTCCAGTTCATGTTTCCTCATCTGTTTAGTGTCTGATCTTCATGACAACCTGTGCTGTGGGTAGGGAAGATGGTGGGGTGCCCATTTTACAGATGCGCCAGCTGGAGCCCAGAGAGGGGAATCAAATCGCATAAAGCCACATAGCCAGGGAGAGGCAGAGCTGGGATAGAAGGCAGGCCTGCCCGACCCTTTCCTCAGCTCTCCTGCCCCTCAGCCCATCAGTGGGTAAGACACATTTTATGATGAGTCTACTTCTATAAGTCAGTGTCCAAGAAAAATTGGCCACAATGAGCATTGGCAGAAAGGGTACAGAGACACCCCAGGGATAGCACGGACAGCTTTGGAAGGTCAACAACCAACAGCTACCCACTCCTCCCTCTTGGAAAGTGTGTGTATGAGCCCAAGATGTTTTCAGCACCACATGCCTGAGGCCACCCCCAGTCTTGATCCATGGTATCATATGATCCTAGAATGTTAGAGCCAGAACTGTCCAACAAGCCCACTGTACAGAGGAGGAAACAGGCCAAGACAATGACAATGCGGCCAAGTCATTAAGTAGCAGCAAATCCAGAATCCAAATCCAGGGATCTCAGATCAGTATTCTTTGCATCCCACTTTGCCACCAGTTCAGTCATCAGCCCATGCATGATGGGACTTGGGTCTGCTAAACCCCCTCCACCCCTACTTTCATTGAATTAACACTACTTAATGCTCACTAGATACCAAGCACTGTTCTACACTCTTTACAGATATTTAACGCAACTCATTTCCCAGGCTCTGCCAGCCCCCAGCCCCCAGCCCCCAGCCCCCAGCCCCCAGCCCCCTCTACCTGGGTGGTTTTCAGCTTCTCCTCTTCTCTCTCTTCTCTTTCGGGCTCTCTGTCCCGACGACGGTGGGGTCCGGCCCCAGCACCATTCGCCACAGGGGAGTCATCTCCCCGCCAGGACCTCACCTCCTGCAGAAGGCACAGGAGTGAGGAAAGCGTGAGCAGCCCAGGCTGGGCTTGAGGGGACCTTGGCTGGAGTCAAGAAGAGGGTAGGGTGGGAGGCGCCGAGAGGTCAGGGGCAGCAGGACCACCACGGGGAGGGGGAAGAGCCTGGTTAGTGCCCGCGTAGCACCTCCACCACCAGCAGCAGCAGCACAGGAGGCCCGGCCCACTACCTTCTGCTCCTGCCGGCTCAGGTGCAGAGCCAGCTGCAGCTGCAGGTCCTCGTCCCTGTGGGAGGCTGGGGGGACCGGCTGCGAGGGAGGGAGAGAGGGGTGAACTTGGCCCAGTGTTCCCACTCCTGGGCTGAAGGGCAGCATCGCCCTGTGCCGGTAAGGGCAGTGGAGAGAGGAGTGCCCACCCTGAGTGGGTGTGGGCAGCCTGCCCCCAGACAGCAGCATCGCCCTGTGCCGGTAAGGGCAGTGGAGAGAGGAATGCCCACCCTGAGGGGGTGTGGGCAGCCTGCCCAGATCTGGATCTGAGATGCAGTTTAAAAATCAGGAAGATTCATCCTTCTCTTCTGGGTCCCCTGAGTGCTCTCCAAGCCCCGCTGTGCGAGGCCAGCTGTGTCCTGCCAGGTCTGCCTGGATCCACAGAGGCGATGGCAGAGAGGAGGCTATCAGGGAGGCTGTCCCTGCCCCCCATAAGGACAGCTGATGGGGGACAGCATATTTCTGTGTCTCCTAGGAAGGTGTCTGCCAGCACGCTCACCCCTTCCCCTCCATGAGGCGACAGCAGGCCCATGAGACAAACGGTACTGCCAACCTACCACACACACACTATCCCTTCCAGGCCCAGCTGGAGAGGGCTGGGGGTGGGGAGCCAGACCCCAACCCCAGTAACCCAACCCGAGGCACACAGGTGCTGTGCTGTCCTTGGGAGCAGGACTAGGGCTTTGGGGACCAGAGTAGGGGAGCCTAAGAATCAAAGGTGTGGGGCATCCAGGCACCCACCCCTCGTCCAGTCCCCTCCGCCCCCCGGCTGCCCCAGCAGGCACCTTACCTTCTCAGCCTCCGCGCGGCTCATGGCCAGGGCCAGCTGCAGCTGCAGCTCCTCTTCTCCTGACGTCTGGGGCCGGGCCTGCTCTAGGTCGGAGGTGTAGCGGGGAGATGAGGAGGAGGCTGCAACGACCAACCGTCCGTCGTGGCTTCCGTAACCACATAGGTACCCAGAGGCTCCCCTGCCCCCCTCTTGTCAGGAAGCTAAGGCTCAGAGAGGGAAACTGAGGGGGAAGGGAACAACTGGCAGTCGCGGGCCCCAGAGGACCAGGCAGTGTGCTCGGCACTTTCTGTAAGGTTTCCATTCCACCCCGATAAAAGAGCCCAATCCCTCCTTTACAGACTCGCAACGGCTCTGAGGGGTGCCTGGATAGGGTCCTGCAGCAAGACTTGAACCCAGGTCCCCTGACTCAAGTTCCTGGACTCTTACAGCTGCGCCCCATCCTGCTTGGGGTCAAGTGCAGTGGGAGGGGGAGAGGTTCCAGTCAATCAAGGTCACAGCTCTCCAAGCTCTCAGCATACTGTCAAGGAGGGCCATCCTGAGTGCCCCCCAGATCAGGAAAGTGCCTCCCTTCGAGAGTAGGAGAGTTGAGAATGCTCTGCAGCCGCCCCCATTTTCAAGGGCAGTGCCCTCGAGCGGGGGGGATCAAGGAGAATGCCGCTTAGCAGCACCACGTGCTGTGTGTCTGTGCACAGGGCAGAGGTCTCATTTAATTCTCAAATTGAACAACTGAGGCAAACAAAATTATCCCTACTTTACAGACGAGGAAACTGAGGTCCAGAGAGCTGGTTGTCTAGATCACATGGCTTGGAAGGGGCAGAATAAGGACTGCTACTCCAGAGCCTATGCTTCCGCCACCACGCCCCTACCAGACAGCGAATTAACGATAACAAACCTATAATATCATTGTTTGCACTGACTTGTCGGGCACCTACTATGTGCGGGCCTTGGGCCTCGCATGTCACTCTCTTTATCTCACGGAATCCTCAGACATCCCTCTGAGGTGGGGATTCTTATCCACAGCTGGGGTCACAGAGCCAGGGTCAGAACTCGGGCTGCCTCCCTGTCCCCAGCCACGCCCTGGGCTCACTCACAGTTGTAGGAGGACGGGGAACCGCGGGCACGGCTGAAGCCCAGCTGCCCGCTGCCGATGCCTGTGCCCTCCAACGCCATGCGCTCCTTGGTCTTGAGGGCGTGGGTCCGCTCCTGCCGGAGGCGCTCCTCATCCTTGAGCAGGGCCATCACCTGCTTGACCTTCTCGCGCACGTTGACACCCTGGTCCTTGCCATCGCGGTCGATGTACTGGAAGTCCTTGAGCGTCTGGATGGTGTAGAGGTTCTCCCGGCACTGGTGGGCCACCCGCTCGGAGCCTGTCTTGAGCAGGTAGTCCAGCAGCGTCAGCGCCTTGTACACGTGCCGCCAGTTCTTGCCGCTGTCATTGAGCCGCCGCCACAGCATGCCCATGACCTCGGCAAAGGCCACCGTGTTGAAGGTCAGATCGGCAATCTCCGACATGAGCGAGCTGGGCGGACCCCACGGGTCATTGCTAGTGGCCTCGCGCACCTTGATCTCCGCTTCCGAGTAGTTGTGCACGATGTTCTTCACCTGGCGCCGTAGCGCTGATGTCGTCATGGCTGGGGACTTGGAGATGGGCGGCCCCCGCCCCAGCCGGAGGTGGAGGGCCGAGGAGGGCCACCGTCGTCGAGAGGTCACGGTCTCCAAGGGTGGGCCGCCGTGCTCTCAGCAGGGCGGCTGTGTCCTTGGCTTCCACATGGGTCTGAGGAAGAGAGGGCCTGGAACTTAGGAGCAATGGGCCACCTTGCTGGCCACTCAGCCAGCGACTAAAGCCCTGGCCAGGGTGTCCCTGCTGCCAGGAACAGCCTTCGGCAGGCACTTATTCTTATTTTTTTAATTTTACTTATTATTCAGCAGGTACTTCTAACTTTGCATGCTCATTCATCTTCACAATCACACCTACAAAGACATTATTATTATTACCTCCGTTCGAAGATGGGGAAAGTTTGAGAGAAAGATTAAATGACTTGTCCAAGATCACAGAGCGGGTGAATGTGGAACCAGCATTAACCCAGGCAGACGTGCTCCACAGTCTTTGCTCTTAGTTAGGGACACGGAAGTGACCCCCCAGGAATAGTTAGTATCTTTTTCTAAAAATACAGCTACTCATTTGTGCTTGCTACTCATTTTTTTCAAAACTAAAGATATACATATATTTTTTGTTTGTTTGTTTGTTTGTTTGTTTGTTTTGCGGTACGCGGGCCTCTCACTGTCGCGGCCTCTCCCGTTGCGGAGCACAGGCTCCGGACGCGCAGGCTCAGCAGCCATGGCTCACGGGCCCAGCCGCTCCGCGGCATGTGGGATCCTCCCGGACCGGGGCACGAACCCGTGTCCCCTGCATCGGCAGGCGGACTCTCAACCACTGCGCCACCAGGGAAGCCCTATACTGTTAATTTTTGTAGCTTGATCCATTCAACACCAATTTCCTGGGGACCTCTCTGAGCCAGGCTCTATGGCAAGCGTAGAGTACAAGCCTTGGCCCACACACATCCACTTGAGAGGGCACCGGCAGGCACAGTCCAGCATGGGAGCGCAGAGGAGCACAGGAGTACCCAAGCTGGGAAAATCAGGAGAGCCTTCCCAGAGGAGGTGATGGCTGAGCTGATCCGAGATTCGAAGCGAAGAGTGAGGAGGAGTGAGGCAGCAAGGCAAGGAAGGAGCATCTGGGGGAGGCTGCCTCCCAAAGAGGACCCATTGTACACACCAGAGCACTGAGGCCAGAGAGGGGTATGGCGTGCCCATAGTCACGCAGCATGTAGGTGGCAGAGCTGGGACTAACACCTAGGTGTCCAGAATACGAATCCAATTAATTCATCTGATTGCTTTATTGCCTCAGTCCCACCTTCTCAGCCAGAATGAAAACTCCCTGAGGGCAAGGCCAGCCTGGGCTCCCCATACCCCCAAGGCCCTGGGCACTGGTAGACCTCGGATCTCCCAGATGAGGGAAGATTAGAGCCAGCCCACTGCCCTCCCCCCAGCCTTAGGACAAGGCCATCCACTAAAAGCACACCCAGGCCCAAGACAGAGAAAGGTTCTCCCAGGGCCCTACCAGAAACCAAAACCCGAATCCCCCTGCCACCACCATTCCTCTGGTGTGGAGACACACACACACACACACACACACACACACACACACACACACACCACACACACACACACACACCACACACACACTCTCTCTCGCTGGACCTGGCCTCCACCCAAACCCCCCACCAACACCAACCATGGAGACTGCACCTCTCAGCTCTACCCTAGGACTCAGCAGGAGTCAGAAAGAGCCTGTCGACCCCTGCCCCCCATCTCAACTCTCCCTCCAGCCAGCCCTGCTAACCTGGGCTCAGTTCAAAGCCTTGGCAGTTTTCATCAGGGCCCGCGTGCCTGGGAGAGCTTGGACCCAGAGGGTAGGACCTTGTGGGGGCACAGATGGGATGGAGAGTGCTGGCTGAAAGTGGGCTTACCTTCTCTCTGCTGCCTTTCTGTCCCGGCAGTGGCGGGCCTTCTGTGGGATGCCACAGCCAACACTTGTTTAACGCCTGCCCTCTCCCTCACTAGTGACTCAGACCTGTCTTTACCTCCCCAGCCTGTGGGCTGGCGGGTGGCAAGAGTCAAGATGAGAAATAATTGTGCCCTAGAGCCCACCGAGCGCAAGCCCCTCCCAGGACTGGCCACTGAAACCAGCAGAACTAGTCAGGCATCCTGACTCCACCAGGAGCCCTACCAGGGCCGCCCTGGCCCTCCTAACCGGCCTGGCGGAGTAGAAGGGGGCCCTCAGTGTGGGCCCTGAGGCTCTGCCTGAACTTTCTCCTAGAAGGTGGGAATGGAGGAGGCTTCTCCACACGTCTCTGACTGAGATGAGGCAAGGGAGGGGTCAGAGACACCGGGAGGCCCCGCCCCCACTGAAGTGTAAGGGGACCAGGTAGGGAGGAAGAGAGGGCAGGGTGAGGCCAAGGGAGCACCGAGGGGAGGGAGGAAAGGAAGGAACGCGGGAGGGGGCGTGGCCGGGAGAGCGGCCGGCGGTGTTACAAGCAAAGGGTTTTATCGAACCCAATATGCCCAGAAATAAAAGGGAGTGAAACAGAAACCCAGCAGCCGATAAGGCGGCAGTGGCAGCGGCGGCAGCCGGGCAGCCGGGTATGGAATTACTGCAGTGACCTTGAGCCAGACCCTGTCAGGTGGAGGGAAGGACACTGAGAAGGCCAGGCCGAGAGGCCAATTCAGAGATGGGGAGAGGGTGGGGGAGGCGGGAGGCAGGAGGGTACGGGCTGGGGGATGGGAGAAGGGCCAGCAGGGGGCGGGGCACGCCGTGGCCGCAAGGGCATCATCTCTCTCCTATGTTTGGGGTACCAAGAAGAGCTTTACAGGGGACAGGAGCCTGCTCTTCTCAGGGCCCACAGCTCTGGCGGATCTGTCAGGACTCAGGCAGCAGATGGCATTCCCAGAGTGGGGATTCAGGGAGACGGGAGGAACCCAGATATGTTGAGTCACGTGCACGCATTTACCCAGAGACTGTGTGCCCCCATGGGCCCGCACCCCTTCCCATCCTCTGCTAAGGCGGCTCTAGAGCCAGGCCCTTCCCCCCCATCAGGTCCAGCTTGGGCAGGGGGGGGAGTGGCAGTGCGCTAACTCTTGCTGTAGGAGGGACAAGAGGAGTGAGCCCTAGCTCTAAGCTTAAGTCAGCCCAAAGGCAGATGTGTCTTGGGGGCACTGGAGTTGGGTGGGGGCTGTCCTGAGGCTAGAGGTGCAACAGGGGCTGAGGAGGAGTGGGCAGGAGTCTGTGCGGAATGCCACCAAAGATGCTAGCCCCAGGATGGGGAGCGAGCCCTCAGAGGCCCCCTTCTTGGGGGCTGTAGGGAGGGAGGGGCGGCAGGCAAGGTGCCTCCAGGTTCCTCTGTGACCCTGCCCTCCTCGCCCTTCTCCCGGGGACCTGGAAGGGAGACTAAGCCCCAAGCCTTTCATGCCAGGCACCATGGCTGATGACGGGAGCTTACCTCCAGTGCAGGCTCCCTTGGCCCCAGCCCCGGGACCACGAGCAGCCTCTGCAGTGACCCTCCAACCTGCGCAGCAGGGGGATGGCACAGCCTCGGGAGTATCCCCAGAGCCATCCACCGTGGACCCTCGTCCTGGAGACCAACCCTCTCCCAGGAGGCACAGACCCCTCGGAAGGGTGGCTCAGGGTCCCCAGAATGGGCGGCTGCTCTGCCTCCTGCCTGCTTGTCTTCTGGACGCCAGGCAGCACTCAGGAGGAAAGTTGCTCAGCTGGCCAGGCAGGTCTGCCTCAGCAGTAACAGGACACAGGAGGAAGTGCAGGGCATGTTAACCCCTTCCTGCTGGCCAGGCAGGCAGCACCTTCAGAGGTGGGAGGCCTGCCTGCTGGCTGTCCCCAGGAGGTGCAGCTCTGGAGCCAGTGCTGGTGACCCACTCCCACTCTGCGGTGAGTTAACCCTTCCTCTGCCTCCTCAGGAGGAAATGAAGGGTGGGGAGGGGAGGCTCCAACACCCACCCCACCCCTATATTCCTCCTCTGGGCCAAGACCACCATTCCCTGGGGTTGGCCCTTTGGTGGAGTACTGCCTTGTGTGGGTTTCCATCTGGTCCCCTCGGCAACCCTGAAGGGGGCATCAGGACTTCAGGCACAGCGCCCTCTCTGCGTCTCTGATACGGGATCAGATCAGAGTGCCCTGCTCTCTCCAAACCTCCTCCCATGTCTCAACTGGAGGATGCTTGAGGCCCAGGAGGTCCTTATCAGAAGCACCAAATGCAAAACCAAGTGGGTAGGAGACTAGCCACTCTTCAGGCCTCCCCCCTCCCTTCTGCTGCATCAGCATTTAAGGCCCATGAGCCCACCATTAGCAAAGTTGTTCTTCAAACTCTGGGAGCCTGGGGCCCACCCTGCACAGGAAGCCTGGCCCAGAAGGATTATTACTGACAGAGGAGAATTTATGGTGCCGAGTCTGAGCTGACAGCATGTTTCTTTGCAGAAGTCATCTCTCATCCACTTCACATTTCTCTGAGCAAGGGAGGGAGCAGAGAGTCCAGAGGCTGTTTTTAAGGTCGAGAAAATGGCTCAAAGAGGCCAGGTGGCTTGGCATGGGGAGGGGGGTAAGCAGGCTAGAATCCAGAATAATCTCTGGCTGACGGCAAAGGGATCTGGCCTTTAGGGTTTAAGGGTGTGGTAGCATGATCCTCAGGGACTGGGACGAGGCCCTTGGACCCAGTGGAAGTGTGAGGACCTCAGGGACCCAGGTCCCATGTTGTCTAGTTATCCTCCTAGTCACACACTGTGTCATTCTTGGCGATGACACTTTGGGAAGACCCGGCTCCGGGAAGATGACCCCAAAATTGTGGGTCAACAAAGGCCAGAGGCAGGGGCTACGAGGGGTGATGCTCTCTGTCCTGTCACCTGCTTCATTCCTTGTCCTGCTGCCAATTTGCTCTTCCACTCCTCATCCCACACATCACCTCCCCAGCTGTGTTTCTCTCTCCTCCTGTTGGATGGCTCCAGGAATGGGGAGGAGGGGAATCCAAGGGCAGGTGGGACATGGGAGGACCAGGACCTGACTTCATCAAGATCTGACATTCAAGGGCTTCCCTGGTGGCGCAGTGGTTGAGAGTCCGCCTGCTGATGAAGGGGACACGGGTTCGTGTCCCGGTCTGGGAGGATCCCACATGCCGCGGAGCGGCTGGGCCCGTGAGCCATGGCTGCTGAGCCTGCGCGTCCGGAGCCTGTGCTCCGCAACGGGAGAGGCCACTACAGTTAGAGGCCCGCGTACCGCAAAGAAAAAAAAAAAAAAAAAAATCTGACATTCAAGACATGGAGGCATAAGGGAAGTGGTAGGAACCTAAAGGTTCTTTATTGATTTGTTTGTTAAGCAGTTTCGCAGAAGGCAGCTCAGGTATGCAAGTCAGGTGCAGAGACGCAAAGGCTCCTTGACATTCTCTTTGGGGCTGAGCTCATCAGCCAGGACCAGTAGGTCGGTCACCAGGGCATCCAGCAGCCCATAGACCTGGAAGAATGGGATGAACATCACAGGCAAAGGTTCACTCTCTGGAAAGCACCTGCACAAGGGAGCATCCCCCATGCTGCGAGATGGATGGACACATCTATACAAGAGGGACAGCTGGAGAGGGGGACAACTAAAGTTGTGTAGATAAAACTAAATTTTCTGTAGGACTTTTGTTTTTGCAAATAGATTTTTTTTTTTTTTTTTTTTTTTTTTTTTTTTTTTTGCTGCTTTGGGTCTTTATTGCTGCACAAGGGCTTTCCCTAGTTGCAGCGAGCAGGGGCTACTCTTCGTTGCAGTGCATGGGCTTCTCATCGCGGTGGCTTCTCTTGTTGCAGCGCACGGGCTCTAGGTGCACAGGCTTCAGTAGGTGCAGCACATGGGCTCAGTAGTTGCAGCACGCAGGCCCTAGAGCATGTGGGCTTCAGTAGTTGTGGCACGTGGGCTCAGTAGTTGTGGCTCACGGGCTCCAGAGTGCAGGCTCAGTAGTGTGGCACACGGGCTTAGTTGCTTTGCGGCATGTGGGATCTTACCAGACCAGGGATCGAACCCGTGTCCCCTGCATTAGCAGGTGGATTCTTAACCACTGTGCCACCAGGGAAGTCCCAGTTTTATTTTTTGAACCAGTCTGGGGCAGTAATCCTGCACTGCCCCTTGGACATATGGGGACATTAGAGCCTAGAGTGGTTAAAGGGGCAATTCCAGGGATGCCCAGGGAGCAGTGCCCATTTAGTCCCTTGGGGTGACCCAATTCTACCCTGGACTCCTGGAGACCAACTTTCCTTCCAGCACGATCACAGATCCACGTACTGAAATGTCTCCAAGACTGTATGTACCCTGTGGTGGAGCTGGACCACACGAGCCTCAGCAAGTTGATTCTTAATTTCAAAAAGCCAAGCAAGAGACTACCCCATGGGTCCTCAGAGCCCTATGATTACTTTTTGACCCCATGGCAATCCACAAATCTCAGTGACGTCAGCAACAGCAAATGGAGCTTCTGATTAAATGCGATCTGAGTGTTAGCACAATGCACAGTACAATCTCGGCTACCCAGCTGTCCACACTAGAGGAAGACAAAGCATTGCCGCTAGACGCCTTGATATATCAAACATGGCTTTGTGGATCTCCCCTCCAAAACCAACAACAATGACAAAGAGCAGAACACAACACATAGGTGAATTCCTAAGGACCTACTGCTTAAGAACACATTTTATAAAGTCTCTCCAGCGTTTCAAAACCCTTACACTTGCTGGAAATTCACTCTACGTAGTGGTCACCCAAGGAACACATCTGCCAAGATGCGCCTAACACAGAGAAGTGGGAGCAGCAGAAAGGAAAAGGCTTCCGCTCTGTCCCCCCTAGAATCTATTTCCAAATGGCAGCCGGAGTGATCTTCTAAAGCATGAGTCGGACCACATCACTCCTCAGTTCAAAACACTGTGTCCTCACAAAGGCCTACAAAGCCCCACATGACCTGCTCCCTCTTGGTGGACTCTCTGCCCTCTGTCCTCCTGGCTCACTCCCTCTTCTACCCACAGCACTCTTCCTAGATGTCAACATGGCCACACTTCCCTTCCCTTCAAGTCTTTGTTTGATGCCACCTTCCAATGAGGCCCACCTACCCCGACCCAGGGCTTCCCCATCCCCCAGCCCTGGTCTCTCTCTTTTTCCCATAGTGCTCATCACCTAACATACCAGAGGTGTTACTTATTCATGAGGTCTGTCTTGAACACTAGGATGCCCTTCACAAGGGCAGCTCTGCTTCCATCACAATGCAGTAGGCACTTATTGTTTGTGGGATAAACAGAATGAATGAGGGAGCCAGGGAGTGGAGGAAGGTATGCAGGGCAGGTGTGAGTGAGGGGAGGGCTGAGTGCCAGGCTCTTGCCCTCACCTCAGTATGCAGCCTCTGGGTGTATTTCTCCATGACCAGGGGATCTATGGGTTCCTGAGACGGGATGATGCTGCCAGGGGCAGGGTCTTCCAAGGAAAGCCTGTCCCGACTTGCAGATTTCATCGGTTTCTTGTCATCCTTTGCTTTGTGCTTCTTGCTGTTTAAATGGTCCTGCTTGGAGAGACAGAGACATGCCCAGCCTTCAGTAGCTCCTGGGGGAGGTCCAGGACTTTCTCAAGAGCAGCTTAGTGGGGAGCAGGGGCATCACGCTGGCGTGACTGCCCACCTTCCGCAGCCCCTCCTATCCCTTCCCCAGCCCGCACCCCCAGGCCCAGACGACGTGCTACCTGCCTCTTTCCCAGGTGGCAGCTTGGCTCCTTTTTTATCATCTTTGTCTTTGATTCCCAACTGCTTCTTTTCTTGAGATGGCCCTTTCCGGTCCTCCTTCCCCAGTCTCCCGGAAGTCACCTTCACTTCTGTGGCAGGAGGTGACTTTCGATCTGAGGAAGGTGAACGGAAGTCAAATGGCCTGTGGCCTAGCTGCCCCCACAGGCAGGAACTGGGAGAGCAACGGGCCCTGGGCCAGCAGTGCTCTAGCTGTTTGAGAGAATCCCCACAGACTGGGAGCAAGGTCCTGGGTCAGGTGCATGACCTTGTGGAACAGGACTGTAGGGCAGGGGTGAGAGGCCCAGGCACCAGTCCCAGCTCCACCATTTCCCTACGTACGGGATGGCAAGTCATCTTGCCTTTCTGGGACTCCACCTGTAAAACGTGGGGACTGAACTAAGGTGATTGTTAGGGTTGTCTCTAGGTCCCAAATTCTGGCAGCTGATAAATAGGTAGCAAGAGGCCTACCCCATGGACCAACCTAACAGAGGTTCCACCAGAAGCGTACAAATGGCTGAGGTGCCACTGCCCCCCGGGCAGAGGGATGGGAAAGACTACGTGGGGGGTGTGGCTGCACAGTGTCTGACCTTGCTCTTCTGGCATGTGCAAGTAGGTGGTCTCCTTCTCAGGCAGGCCCAGCAGAGCCCTCAGCCACAGGGAATGGCTTACTAGGCTGTCAATCACATCTCGCCACAGTTGCAAACTAGAGAGCAAGATATATTGGAGAAAAGCCATCGTCCCTCATTTGCCCTTGAACCTGTAGGGGCCTGGTCCTTACCTTTCAAGACGCTGGTGCCAGGAACTGCCACAGAAGCACCATGCCTCTGTCCAGCCAGCACCCTCACTGGCACCCATGCAAGTGCTGGGATGGGGATCTGGCTTCCCTCGGGTGGTAGCCAAGAAAAAGTGGCCCAAGGATAAGGTTAGATCAGTCTTGAACTAACTC